CGAGTTATAGCTCGTTCGTCTTTGTCATGCCTATTGTGGCACTTAGACGGCTCTCTTTGTCACCAGTACGGCACACTTTCTCAGTATACTTATGGTTTTCGTTTCGACTACCAGATATGACGCGAATATACAATGCGTTCGATGCAAGACATACGATACGTGAACAAGGAAATTGTGGAAATTTTATTAAAAAAAAAGAATAATATTGTTCGATTTTTTTCTAGATTTAATAATTTGATGAAAAATATGAATAGAAGATATATATTAAGCATCAGTTAGTTGAAACACAATACATATCTGCCACCTCGTTACTTTTGTATTCTCGGGTGAGCGGTTTAAGTGAGTGACAAAAAATAAATGATTTTCCCGGCGACATTTCACGCGCGAGCAACTCGCGCAATTAGAATCCGCTTCGGCCTTTAGCTCGCAATTTATCGCTCTTGCAGTCCGTACAAAAATGCTGGCGACCCAGTTCGGAACTAAGGATTCCTACAAATCGTGACGCTATATATCCCTCATATCGATCTCCCGCAATACGCAGAGCCGATAAATTTTCCGCGAGATCCGCTTTAATGCAATCGGCGATGAGTTCACCGCAGCTTCATATATTCATGTTACAAGACGAGATACTAACGGGCAAACGCATATACGATCGTTATATTAGCTTTTCTGCTGCAAGCATGTGAGTTCCTTCTAGCTCATCAAATTTACATTTTAGAAACGGATAAAAATGTTTTACATTGAAAATATTTTCTATGATGAATATACTCTATATATAATAAATACATTGCAGAGAATAAATAAGCTCTGCGGATTTTCAATTTAACCAGAAAAATAGAAGCTAATAAAAACTGAACATTAATAATTGATATTTCCAAAAAATACATAAAAATTAAATGTTTCGCTCTTTTATCGCTTCAGTGATAAATTGTAAATTATATACGAGTGCGTAAAAATGCAATAAAATGCGTAATATTAAATGCTTTACGCACTCCTGACTTGTTTAGCGAATGATTGCTTTCCGCAAAAATTTGTTTCAAATTTCAGAGATAATCCCCTATCGAAATCTATAGTTTAAGAATTGGACTTTTCAGAATCATGGCATTCGTAGAATTCTAGCGTCTTAAATAAAACGAAATGCCGTGAAAAGAGCTTTTAAGATCATTTTATATGTCGATCTGTACTTCTTGTTAAGCACCGTACATTCTCGAGCGGTGTATTTGACGCCTGACCTATTTCACGCGAAAAGCAAAGCCGGCACGGTCGCATGGCCGCCATCAGTAGCCGGGTCCTGAATAAATAAACCGTGTCACGTGGTGGTGGGCCATCTTATCCTTCCTTTTATCTTGCCGCTCTTCCACACCGGCCCTATCTCGTAATTAATTTCGTGGATATACAGCAGCTCCGGACTAGCGGCTTTTAGAGACGGAAATTCTCGCGCGATCGTTTAAGACGCGCGACTCGCCCCGAAAAATACTTTGAATGTAAATTTGGTGGCCCATTTGCAAATTGCTCGACGGTCCTTTCGGGGCTTTTCGTTAATGCGTTTGGCTAATGGATACTGCCGAAAGTATTTACACTATCACTATTATACAGAGCATTTCAGAAGTCGGGCATTTATATTAAGCCACAAATACTGCAAGCTATTTCCGAAAGAATGGCGATTATTTTGATGTGGATAAGAATGCTTTTCAATTAAATAAAGGCAAAAATTATAAAATAAATGATTGTCACTTTAATGGAATTTTAGCACGAGTTAATTAACGAGGGTATTCGTTGCTCCAAATTAAGAGGTTTAAATTTACCGCCAAAACAAACTTGGTCCAAATTTTCTATGCATATAGATTTTCCATTTTAAGTATCTTTAGTAAGGTAAACTCGTGCGTGTTAAAATATGCTCACCCTCACTAAGTTAAGGTAACTCACTCTTCTCCAATTTAACGAGTCCTAGTTTAATAGGAGCGTCGACTTTAGGTACATTGACACCCTGAGCGAGACACCTTTTGATGTGATCCTTTGTTTTCCTTCCGTTACTCGAGCAAAGCATATTTGATATGTATATTATACAGGTCTCGCGTATCTGCACGATGATGTATATATTTATAAATTTAATAAAATTGTTTAAATACTTTGTCAGAGATCCACCATGTAAAATATTCAAAATTAAATAAGAAAGCAGCAGTCATAAAAACGATTTCTCATAAAAACGACGCGGACGGACGCTATATGCAAAAAAAAAAAAGACTCTCAGGCACTTCAAAAAGTCAATAACAAATCAATCAACCGCTATATTTTAATTTCTGTGACGCGATAAAAAATCGCGATCGATTAATCGCAACTGGAGGCACATGTGTCATTTCCTTCCTTCCTTCCTTCCTTTTTTTGTTTTTTGGCACTCCAAGCCGGTGCTGTGTAATAGCCGGCGCGCTTTTATTTCGCAGTGGAAACTACAGGGGCAGTCTGGGCCTGCCATACGTGGCCGGCAAGCCATGCAGCATGTGCAAAGATCATTGCACGCGGAACACGCTCTGCACGAATGCCTGCTATCACACCGATTTGTGGTCGAACTGCGCCGACCTGGTCAGGACGTTCGGCGCGTGGGTCTGCGAGACGGACACCAAGGAGGGCCGCGAACGCCGGAAGTTCTGCGGCGCCACGTGCAACTGTAAGGACAAGATCTATTTTCATCACGGATAGGATAGTATCTTGGCTCCGTTCAGGTCCACCACGTTGCATGAATAATTTAATCGCCCTACAAAACTAAACTCAGATCTGGTGGTGGGTGTGATGACAGGCTAAACGGCTGCAGATCCTTTGACAGGAGATCGTGTTGTTTTATTGATGAGCTCGTTTGTTTAGTGATGAGCTAGAGGAACGTTTGCAATGTTTCAAGCTAAGGACCTCATCGAGAAAGAGCGAGAGCGAGAGAGAGGGAGAGAGAGAGAAAGAGAGAGAGCGAGCGAGAGCGAGAGAGAGAGAGAGAAAGCGAGAGAAAGAGAGGGAGTAAACGAGATAATATGCAAATATGGCAGATAAAGTGATTGTGGAATTTGTGTGCTCTCTGGATCTCTGGGGCCTAGATTTTGCGAATTTTAGCGATTGCCTACAATCTGATAGGTTTTATGCCGCAAGGATCTAACGATTCTCAACTGCATATGATCTTCCGATCTCAGAAATCTCACAATATCATTGGTGTTCACATGATTGATGAATTCTAGAATTTTAGATCTCCGAGTTCTTGAATGTTTTCAGGATCCATTAAGAAGGCGAGCGCGAGTTATTAATGAGAGATTTGCATCCGTCAATCTTTTATGATTTGAGCAACAACACGTGTCGAATTTTACGTAAAGTAAGAAATATATTTGCACAAAAAAGAAACCACACAAATTTGATTTAGTTTCGCCGATTTAGATCGCGTATACGAAACAAAGGGAATAATTGTCAGCCGCAATCGGTACATTCGTTAGGCATTAATACAATATTTACGCTATTTTCCGAAAATCATGATAATTATTGATAGTTCGCTGAAATAATGTATTTCGTGGTTTCGGAACATCAATTATCGCGTAAATTAGAATTGATGACGAAAGTATCGCATCTCGTTGAAATTATCCTTTTTCTCTCGCGCTTGCTCATCAATATCATTTTCTTGATAGAAACAGATGCATGAAAGTCAAATGCGTTAAGAGACGGATTAAATTTTCAGCGATAACTGCGCGCTGTCCGCGCACTGGGATTCAAGTGTAAACATTATTTGACTCTTTATACATTCGACGCGTTTAGAGACGGAAGTAATTCTATACAATCGGTGTGCATACACGCGAGTACGCGCAGTCGTGTTCGCTAAAGAGTAAAGTTTCAGGACTGTGTTTGCAAAGTTTTTAACATACTCTTGTCCCAACTTAGCAACTCCTAAATCAGCTTATTCTTTATAAGGATAAAAGCTTTGGTTACATTGCATACAAGAAACTATCATTTTTTAATAACTTTTGAATATTCTATAAGTGACTCATTTCGGAGAAAGAATATATCATCAATTATTGTGTTTTACATCTGAGTCAATCATTTATACGATGTTATGGCGATATTTAAGAATCAAATGATTCTTTACATTGTTTTGCAATTATTTTTATATTTACATTTCTAAATTTTCGCACAACATTTAAAAGATATAACAAATTTCAGCAATTTAGTATAAATATATTCGAAAAATAATGAATTGAGCTCTAATTTGATTTTATTCCATTTTGTAAATTATCTAATCGTGGAATTGATGCTAAATGTACGTTTCTCACGTCCTCACTCAGAACAATTTTTGAATATCATAAAAATTGTAAATATATCCGGTGGATTACATATCGAAAATGATAATTACTAGATGATAGACATACTTTTAACTTTAGCTAACTGTTAAGAGAAAAAAATGTAAAAATCGAAATAATCTTCAAGAAGACAGTGCGTCGATGTTTCTTGTCGTGATGTAACAATAAAACCTTTTTGTTAGTAATTAACAATAATTGTTATTTTTATCTTAGATTTAATAATAATGTACTCACGCGCAGCGCAATATTGGATACGTGTCGAGATTATAAAGTTAACTCTTTACCGCTTAATTTTTCTATAACTAAAATAATAATTACGCTAAAATTACATGCTAAACAAGTGGCAAAGCGCGATTAAATATTTGACAACATAAATTCGACAAAAATTTAATAAAATTAAAATAGATGCAACTTTCGAAATGTAAAATGTTGCAAATGTATGTAAATAATAATTATTTGAATTCCGAAGAATATGATGCATTATACAGTTTGATGGAAAATCGTAGTTATTTTTTATAAGATATAAAAAATTAACACTGCAGCATATGCGGCACACAATGCGGTAAAGAGTTATAATAAATCGATGAAAATTATGTGACGTAATCAGCAGAGTGTGAGCTAAGAAACAATATGTGTGACAAATGGCAAGCGTGATGGATGATACACATAATTAATTGTCGGTAATTAAGGAATTCGTTAAAGAGATATAACAGTAAATGTAACGATACAATTCCAAGTAAAATGTTTAAACTGTAATACTTTTTGTCCACTTACAAAATAAATATCCTGTTAATATTATATTTCTGGGTTTCATCATTTGGTTAATCATATTCAAGTAATCCCGACGCTTCTTTCACGAGCAATTGAATAAATTATAGCTGCAATGTCGAAATAATAAAATCCATTAACGACAACTTCACCAAGAACAGTCTGTGCTAACATATATGCAGGTAGAACTTGAGATCTTTTAATTCCTAATAAATTTATAAGTATGTTGTTAAATTTTGACAAGTGCGACCACATTTTCGACGCGGGAAGCAAATTCATGTTGGGCGGCGGTTACGACGCGTTTAATCGCGCAGAAATATTTATTCGTTGCCAGGGAATCGAGGGATTAAGCGGAATTATGCGGCGAATAAATCGATGAGCTTTAAGGGAAGAGGATCACCCTTTAGGTTAGGTAAATGCAGTCGGTGAATTTGAGTTAACGTGGTCTTTCTGTTACAAAGAACTTAGGAATGCTTTTCAAATCATGTCCGGGACAGCAAAATGCCGCCCGTCACGAACTGTGTCGGGCTTTTAAATGAAGTAGTTATATTGAAATTTTCTTACGTCAAACTGTGCAGATATATTGCTGTGGTTATTGATTCTTGCTATTAATCTTTTTGCTGTCAAGCATAATCCCCGGTAACCAATCTCTATGCAAATCTCGCTATTGTTTGGAATTTCGCTTCTCGCATTTTAAATTCAGAAAGTCTGACACTGCATTCAAATTCAACTACATAAATAATTTTTAGATATTGTATTTAATAGAAAAAAAAATTATCGCCAAACTGAATTCCGATTGAAATAATCTAGTATTAAACAAGTTAAAAATCGGCTTTGTTCAATTTTCAACAGAGATATACAAGGTGTTCGATAATGTCAGTCCAACCGCTCGTGTACGTACAGATAGAGCGCGGTAAACTGAACGGAAAAGTTCTTTATCGTTTTGCAATTTCCGCAATAAAAAATAAGATATTAATTAAAAAGGATTGATCACACAATGTCGCGCGTTGCGCGCGAACAAGCCTCGGGCTGTACGATCTGGACGAGATCGCGCATGGTGAGAGAAGGAATTCGCAAACAGCGAGCGAGTCCAGCCTTACGTGCGCTTTTCGCCGACACGCCGCTGATCTACCCAGATCGTACAGTCTAGCCACGCGCAACGCGCTATCATTTGTCAATCCTTTTGTGAAATGGTACAAAACTTTTCTGTACAGTTTACTGCGCCCTGCCTGCACACGATCGTTTGAACGGACATCACGAAATACCTCGTATATATATCACGGAGCGTCAAATAATGTACTACTTCATGAATCTCTTTGTCAATTGGCGAAATCGGTCGCACAGAACGATACAGTCATCCATTTTCTACGGTGTTCAAAGGGTGCGAAGGAAAGCCGATTTGGCCGTAGCGGGCCCCGCCAAGTGGAATAATACGCGTTCGTTGTGAAATTGGGCCGATTCGTCCGTCGAAGCTGACGGCTTCGAGGCAAAGCCGAAAGGCCCGTCGACGTGGATTCCTTTGAACGAATCCGCTGGAAAGTTGGCAGGACGGAATGGCAGCGCCGTTCCGTCGCCGATAATGCTGCCGCGCGCTTACGTCAAAGATCGGCGATCGCATTGTCGTGAACGAGCAATTTCCTTTCGTCCGTCTTTCGAAGGTTTCTACGAAAGAAGGGCGATTTCAATCGCCCAGTTGGAGCGGAAGATTCGTTCACTGAGTTTAATCCTTTTTGTAGTTCTTTGACTTCTCGATAAGGATACCGGAGGGACGAAGTATGTCGTGAATGTCGTGCAATGTAAGAGAGAGAAGAGCACATCTCAAACTAGTAAGTTTTATTTTATAAAAACTACAAATCTATAGAATACTTCCCCTGCCTAATGTCCATATAATTATTATTTTATTTTTTGTTTACATAGAGATTGATTATTCTAATGTCGAGAATTGATAGTTACATAACATTGGAAATTGAAAGATTTTAACGGATTAAGCATCTCATGATGCAAGTTGATCTTGTTTTAATCAATTTTAAATTTGACTGTATTTAAATTTAACCTAATTTTAATCAAATTTTTTTAAATGACAACATTATCTGAAGCTTAAAAATTTAAATATTTCTGTGAAAAAATTAGAAATTTTTTCTAGGACAAATTATATTGCAAATAACAACAGCGTAATGGAATTTTAAATAAATATTACTATAATTCTGAATCTTGGTGTGTAATGTGTTAAACAATAGGCTTGTAACAATAGTGATTTAGTATATGCAATTCTCCATGGTTTCGCTAAAGCGGTTCCACAGTGGAGGGTTGATTTATGAACACATTAACTATACCCGGGACGCTATCATTAGTTGATTGATCGCCAGTAATTAGACTGTAAAGTAGCCTCGACTGCATTCAATCCTAATTACTTAGGAATCCAACAGAATTGCCGCGTTAAAAGCGGCGTGTTGAATATTCTTGAAATTCCATGCCGAAAGATTAAATCGCAAGCGAAATTAAATCATGCTGTCGCTATTTACAAATTGAAATAATTGATTGAAAAATTTTCAATAATTTCAACCATCGGTAAAAATTCGTTTTTAGTATAATATAATAAAACCCCGATATGTTTCATGATAATATACCGTTTTGTACGATATAAAATATTTTGTATCTTGAAAATTAATAAAAAATGGTTTATTCTCCGTTGCTATACCAATCATAAGATAATTTTATTAATAAAATTGATATTTGTATTTTAATTGAAAGCAGAATCTATGTTTTACTTAATTTTTGTCATACTTTATTCGATTCCCATCATAATGAATAAATAAATCGCGTTTTATTAATTTTTATAAATTATTATTATTTTATTAGAAGCAG